GAATTCATGAATTTTAAGTGTTTTCGAAAAATACAATTATAAAAGGCGATAGAATAAACGTACTGTAGTACATTACCGTTTAGACTAGTAAAACAGAAAGACAAAAATTACTAATAAATATAAACGACCGATTGGGCGTGGCTACATTTATCTTTACTGTTAAACATTAAGTTTTAGAGATAATGGATAATTTTCCCTAAGGAAAAACAATAAAAATCACACATTTATATATCTATAATGCGTAATTGTTTTCAAACATAACTTAAGTTTTCCATTTCAAAATAATAGTCTCAATGTTATTATTTATATTTTTACCCAATATTAAAATCACATCAATAATAATTTAGGTATAGATACCTTAATATGTTATCTATTGAAATTCTAATGTTTTATAAAAAAATATTTATAATCATCACTAATATGAATATAAGGATATGGTTTGAATATACTAGGCATTAAAAAATGTGGCATAATATTAATGCAAATTAGAAGTTTTAATAAATAAGTAATTATACAAAAAAAGCTTAAATTTATTCTTTCATATTTATATATCTTACTATACTACACTATATATAGTATTGCTATAACGGTCGTGCGTGCTGATTGTCTTATCGTTTTATATTTTATTAAAACTTTTTTTGTCATTATAAACACCTATAGATATGGATTTTATAAAAGCGTCTATGATGAACTAAAAACGTCTCAAGGTAAAATAATATCTACAGTTAATAACACGAATAATAATCCCAATAAACTTTATAAAAAAAATGTTATGAAATGGTTAAAATAATTTTTACGTTATCTGAGGATAGTAAATTACTGAGAAAGAAGATAGATGTACTTGATAGAAAATTGGAAACTTTTAAAAATACCACTAATTCGCAAATTTAATCCACACAGAGTATAATTTCAGAAATTATTGATAGACAATTAAGATCTTGCAACTTAATCGTATTTAATTTGCCAGAATCTATTAATAATCCTCAAACATCAGAAACTGAGAGTCTATAATTAGTGACATTGTATTTTTCACGAGATTTATATATCGGCGTCACAAAAAAACATATTCCGAATGCTATAAAAGTAATCAATACTTAAACATTTACTAAACATTAAATATATAAGATATAGGTACTAGTAATGATCGCAAACTTTAAAAAAAATATGAGGGTACACCATCAAGACCTATAGTGGAGTTAGTATACATTTATAGTACATTATATTTTTTTTAAAAACATTGTGTTTTGATGTTTGTTAAAATGAATTTTTAATTTTCTCTTATCTCCTACCAAATATTTTAATTCTACCTAAAGACGGGAACTTTTATACCTTTGTCAAGTTATTGCTCATAAACTTATTAACTATAATCCAAATTAAATTACATTAAAAAAGGATAGATTCACCGATTTTGTTAAGTTTATTTTCAAATAAGTAACTTAACCTAACCTATCAACTATACGGAGAATATTCAACAGCTCGCTGATTATCAAAGGCACAGAGAAAATATTTTCGTCAAGCACAGCTAATACATATCACTAAACGTGTGTCATAAGCATACCGAGTGAACGATTCTCCTTTATAGTAAATTCTATACTAAAGTTTTTAAAGCCCATAAAGTCTACTTACAGTCTACTTACCCTTCATTGAATCCGCTAACATCGACCTATCCGAATTTCTCAATTAAAATATAACATTCATTATAATTATAACAACTCACAGTTATTCAACTTTAAAACTAAAACTTAACTCTGCTAAAACTTTTCTATACAACTTTTGCTAAAATTATATATATATATATAATATTCTATACATTTTATATTTTTACAATTTGTATTATAATTACAATTAAATGGCTTTATCACACTTAATTTTAATTTCCCTTTGATTTATAGTTCTTCATTTATAAATAACTACGCTATCTAGGATCTTGCCAGTGTACTAATAATCCTGTACAGGAACAGAAGATTGTGTAAAGTAACTTTCGAATCTCAGTAGTGCTAAACTTTAATGAAAGATATCGTTGTAAATATTAAATTATAAATAGTATGAATAATATTCAGTTCTATTAGGTAAGTATGTAATGCAGTACATGAATCTAAATGAACTTCTTTGGTTAAGGTTTGGAAAAATACGTTTGCAAGAATTTAGTTATTCTCAGTGAGTATTTTGCTTATCATATCTTATTATTTTGGTCGAAGGGCCCCTAAATTAATTTGCCCCTGGCCCCGAAAAACCTTGAGACGGTACTGTTTTACATTGTTGAAGTCAATTAGAAATCTTAATAAAAATTTAATGTGGAATTGCAGTATAACTAAATACATATTTTTTATTCCAGTTCTCAGTAAAAAATTATTATTAGAGTACGAATTTAAAGGCATTTTTTTTTCTATTGCCCTAAAATGAAACTGTTAGCTACAATTACGATACATACTACTTAGAATAAAATTTTAATAAATTTGTTAAAATTATTATTTATTTTTTAAAAGAAATCCATTTTTGATACATTTTTAAGCTCTTTTGTATATTTATACAACTTTATTGCATTATTTAAGTTTTTTTTCTTTAGTTTATTTACTGCTTTAAAATCCGTACTCTAGTTATTAATTAGTTATTATTGGCAAATGATTTCAGTAATTTTAAATTTTTACATTAAATGTGAAGATATACTGATAATAACATATAATCTAAAATATATGACTTAAATATATTACTATTTTATTACAATTATTATCATTTTTACATAATTATAAGGTATATAATTTTGTACTCAATTATCAACTTGGTATTTATAGATCTAATTGCATAATATTACAATTTTCTGGATTTCCAAGATAATGAAGTATTAATAAAATGTTTAATTACCTACATTATTTTGTTCTTTATTTAAGACATAAATTAAAACTCTAAATAAACACTGAAATTAATAAATTTAGCATAAATTTGAATTTTTCAATTTAAAAAAAATATTATTTTTATTATTATTATTATTGTAAGTAATAAGTAATTTTATGTATTTTAAAAACTTTCAAACTGAATGTTTTCTTCGAGGTTTAGATCATAAAGCACACAATTAATATACTATTATTCACAAATTAAAACAATAATAAATGTATACGAAAAATAAATTATTTATCTTTATACATATACCTTAAGCCCTATATTTATAATTTATAAGTACTCATAAATACTTATATGTTCAAAAATACTTATAATTATTATTTTCTAAAATTTTGAGTTATCTTCTTGTTAAAATATTATAAATCAAATGTACATAAGATTTATGCATAGGCGTGCACGGACATCAATTTCCGACTGAACCTAGAACAATTAATGCATCAATACTTGGACAATGCCCCTACATTTTTTTTATCACATTAATATACATTATAATTATGTATTGAAATATATGTAAATAAAATCAAATTGTATGAGTACACAACATTTATTTGCTAATTTTTAGACACACACACACACATATATATATATATATAAAATACTCTTATAGCTGATTAATTTCTTACATTAATAATTATTAACAAATACAATAATATACCTATATATATATATATATATATATATATATATATATATATTATCTACTATACTTATACATTACTATCTATAGATACAGTCTTGAAAATTGTATGTGAAAAATAATTTTTTGTTGAACTTTTAATTTTTACTAGTTCTTTACGAAATTTACGTTTTCTATATTCATAACCATTTGATATGTTTGAAATGTTTGAAAATAAATTATATTAATATCTCACAACTATATTTTAACGGCACTATAATATAAATATTACTAAACAGTTAACACGTTACACAATAATACAGTAAACACTAAACACTGACTAGACTAACCAATTGGATTATCGCATAGCGATTAGTTTATGGTCTTTCATTAATTGAAGGCAACTTATTAAAAACCTTTCATGATTATCATCATATTTTGTAATCGACAAAATCTTATCCATGTTTTTCTAAATAATCTTTGATTAAAAAAGTTTAGAGGAGTATTTACTCGGCAATTAAAAAAAAAAAAATACTTTCGCTTCGAATATCCATGAACTCTAAAACTCTGAAATATTATTTTTTTTTAAACTTTGTATCATAATATTAAATATAAAATAGTGGCTCATTATGTTAGGTTTATTAATACCTATAATTTGTTTTTACAGAATGCAAGTAGGTAAATTAAAAACACATTTAATTTTAATTAGATTATTTAGCTTAGTACTCGAAAAGACATAAGAAACTTTAAATGACTTGAGGGTAAAAAAATAATTAATTAAACAAAAACTAAAGGTTAAATAATATTATTATAATAAATTAACAGTTATTGTACAAACAATATGCTGATTGTTAAGGTTTTTGTAGCGAATTAAATGAATTCATTTAAATTCTAATAAAATGCCTGGACTTTGAAATTTTTAAAAATATAAGAAACTTTTATACTTAGTTTTTTTAATTATATTAAAAATACAAAACTATTATATAACTGTGCTTTTGTTTTAATTTATTGTAAAGAAAAAGTATCATATATATGATTATAATTAACAGTAATTTATGACCGTTACGTTGTTTTGGGTAAAACAAAATGTATAACCAATCAGGTATAAAATATTAAACAAAGGTCAAACAAATGGAGGTGTAACCATAACCAGACGTTCTCGATTGTATAAATTCAACTCGGTACGTGTATCAATATTAATTAATAATTTTAGTTTCACGTCAATTTTAAATGCATTTGACAGAAGGTAAAGTCAAAGCTGTTTCAAACGATGAGTTGTGTAATATCGATTAGCTGTTAGTATTATATTTTAATATTAAGGTCCGTGAAAAAACCATTATTGACGCAATAAATTACATTATACTTTATTACGATGGTAGCATTAAAAGTAAATATTTTCATAACTTTAGCTCAGAAATCTGCTTGGCCAACGCACAAATCTCAAACCAGATTCTGAAGTTTAGAGAAACCTATAATATTCATCAGTATGCAACAAGACAGCAATAATCAGACAGCCGTTGTAGATGGAACCCGTCAACAAAAAGACCAATTATTGTACGACGAAGAAATAGATAAATTGATAGAATGGTTACGTTATACGCCTCATTTACCGAATGTTACAGGTAAACTATTTTGTTTAACTAAAAAAAAAAAAATATGTCAACAATTTGTACTTGTTATATATATTTTAATATATATCGTTACAAGTTGTTTGAATAAGTACGAAAAAAGTAATTTTATAGATTTTTAGCAAACCTAGTATTGATTTTACAATGATATTTTTCTGTATTAATCTAGATGGTATAACAGCACCAACAATCTCTTTTTGTACCATATAAGATCAAAAATTTAATTGAGAGCTATTTTTCTAAACTAGTCATTTTTTGATTATCTCAAGAGTAAAAACTAAAAAAGAAAAAAAAACATTAAATTTCATTGAGCAAACGTTCAAATTTATTGCCATGTAAATGAATTACAAGCTATAATAATTCTGTATTTTATTTTTAATGTAATAATTAGCCGTATTATAATTTAATACCAAAATATATGAACATCATAAGTATAGGCAACGATCTAACCTAACCTAACCATCGTCATTGTAAATGAACATTTTTTAATAAACATTCAAAACTTGATTACCTACTTATGTTTTAGTTGATTATTTTCTTATAACATTTGTTTAGGTTATTTTTATTTTGAATAAAATAAATACCTAATATTTTTAAGATTTATAATTTGAACACAATTTACTTTAATTTAATTTATCATTTGTTTTACCTTTGCTTGTTTCTATTTTTAAGATAATATATTTTTTCATTCCTTTTTAAAGTATTGATTCAATAAATAAATAAAAAGGAAATAAATCTTAATCATGGAAACGGATACTTGTATTTACTCTTAAATATATTAAGGATTAAGTAACAATTAATAATTTAATATTTACATAATACTTTATTCTGCACATTAAAATTATTTGAATAGACCGAGCATGGTTGAGAAATTGTTTTATTGGAAGAAAACTTCGTATAGAGAGAACTAAAGAATCTTTAGATGGCTATTTTTGCTGTAGAGCACTAATAAACGAATTTTTTGGCGTCCGCGATCCTCTCGGAGATGACGTCCAGACAGCAATGCGAAAAACGTTAGTTTATTAATCATACGTTTGAACTACTACATTTTAGCATCTAGTATCTCATCACTTGTATTTTGATACTTTTTGTTTTTACAGATGGTTCGGATTTTCGACAAATTTAACAGAAGATGGTTATCAAGTTATAGTGACAAAAAATATCACCGATGAAGATGTCCCCGGTAGATTTTTGGATCAATGGACGAAATATTTTTACATGTGCATTGATTGGAACTTAAAGCGAACTACAGTAAATGGTGTGATAATGATATATGACATGGCTACAACAAACAAGAATGAATTACTCACTCAAGTAACTCCTAGTTTTCTCAGAAAATCTCTGCACTGCTCGGTAAGTAATTTGAGTTTTTGAGCAAAGTCATTCAATTATTATTATCCTAGTCCAATACTTCTAAATTTTTTGAAGTAATTTTTGAAGAAATATTTAAAAGCTTCTTCTATTTTTTCTAAAATCACTGGAGGCTCAACAATGTAGCCACCATGTAGTAAAATGATTTAACAAAAATTCCAAAAATTTAAGCTGAAATACCCAATTAACAGATTTTTTACGGACGATCGATTTTATTAATCAAGTGATAACTATTTCATAATTACGTTATTGCGTAGTTACAATTATAATTTAATTACGTTATATTATCCATTATACGTTATAAGGAAGTCATGCAATTCCAACATTACATTTATACATAAATCCATAGTAGCTACTAATAATTATGTTGCGCAGTTTGTTGACATATAAATCAACAGCATAAGCATTATTATGAATAATAACGAAATCACCACACATTTGAATAATAATTTTTAAATTCCTAGTAAGCCATTTTATTGCATAATATGTACAGTGTCAACCAATAATAATCCAGTTATAATTTTCATGTATTGCGTTATATTGGTGGAGACATAATATGTTCATATATTTTGTGGTCTAAATTACAGCTTCCAACAATCATAAGTTATAATCTTATTAAAAATAAACAGATTACTCATAACATTAGAAACTGATTATGGCTCAATAGTTTACAAATCAGCTAAACCAACAATAGTTCAAAAAATCAACACAGTACAGAACGCCGCAATATGTTTAGAAATCGGTACATTCAAAAGCCGTCCAGTTTCAAGTATGATTTTTATAGCGAACGAAACCTCCCCTTGCATTATGAAGAAAACATTTTTAAACTAAATACATAGTAAAAATAGCAAAATATTAAGAACGTTTAGTATACAAAAAAATCATAAAAATCATTCAGGAAAATCATGCTCAATATATAATAAATAAGATTTTATAAGAAACAATGAATTTAAATTAACAATATTTTAAATATTATCCATACCAATATACTTATTTGGAAATTCAAAGAAGATTTAGTAAATCTAAATTTAACCAAGTACCATACATTTTCAACAGATAAATGAATGTACAAAATATTTTTCACGAAATATTACAATCATATTCAAACTACAAATACGAGTATACACCGACGCTTCAAAAATCCAGCAAAATACTGGACTAGTCATAATCATGAAAAATAAGCAAATCCAATTAAAAGTAGTACCTGTAGTTTATATACGACTGAAACCGTAGCAATACTCAAGTCCATCTAGGGCATCCGACAAATAATAAGAAATATTGAATAATGACCGATTCACTGAGGACACTAATTAGTATGCACAAATAAATTGAAATCTATTATCACAAATATAATAAATTAATTATTTAAAAAAAAATAAAAATATATCTCTCATATGGATTCTCGGTTATACCGATATAAAAGGAAATTAAGAGGCCGATAAAAAAGCAAAAGACGCAGCAACCAAAAACATTTTCGAATTATGCCCACTATTATCAGACCAAGATTTAAAAAATGAAAACTACTACAATCAACTCATTGAATGGCAAAATCACCGGAGTAATACAAAAAATAATAAACTAAAAAAGGTAAAACAATCAATCTTACCAAAGCCAAAATCAATAAAATTAACAAGAAAGAAGAAAGTGATATTAAACCACTTACGTATTGGCCACATATCACACTTGGATACTTAATGGCTTAAAAATGTCAACCTATATTCCTATCTTGCGGATTTAACATCACATTAAAATATATCTTGATCAACTGTCTATAACAAACTGATGTACGATAAAAGCTATAACCTCCTGAAAATCTATTCGAAATCCTCCCAACGACCTCAGAAGCTATACGAAAACTTTTTAGCTTCTTCATGGAAACAAAACTAAATCAATTAATTTAAATATCGGCATCGCTGGGTAATAACCTTGTAGTTAATGCTCTATATCAAAAAATAAATAAAATTCAAAACCAACATAATTATTAAAAAAATAATCCAAGAAACTATCTGCATCTAATCATCTAGACATGAGTTCTTAAATTATTGTACAGAGTTATTTTCCTAAAATCAATTTCTCAATTTGAATTACATTCATGCAAAATGCAAATACTGATTCAAATGAGTACTTGAACTGAATATACGGCCAAAAACATTAGTATTAAATTCAGATACTGATGATTATTATTTGACATTTAATAAGAGATTTCACATTCATTAAATTATTTTAGTCCTAAAAGCAATTTAAATTGTTCTCGTAACCCTTTTCGGTGAATCGATCTCAATTTAAGAGTCATTCTTTACATCCAACTATTAATTATCACTCTCAATTTTTAAATAGTTATTTAATATTGAACTCAGTTAAATTTAATTATTTATTTATTAATTTAATATCTTTCTACTTATATTTAATCAATCATTTTGTAAAATTGTTTGTTTTTTTTTTTAGACATATTTTCCATACAAACTCATACAAGTTCACTTTATAAATGTGCCGTCATATGCAGCTGTAATTTTTAACATTTTAAAATCATTGGTTCCAAAAAAAATACAATCACGTGTACGTATTATATATTATTAGTTAATTATATTCCATGTACTAATTTAGCTAATTATGCTAAACCAATAACCCCTTAGAAAAAATATTAAACTTAATACATTTCATTAATATTTTTTGTAAAACATATAAAAATTATCCTAAATTAGATTTCAATAATATAAACCATAAATATATAATAATAATTTTAATTTTAAATTAAATACCTTGTTTAGTAGTTTTGTTTGCTTTTTTCATACTTACCTCGAAATAACTTTTTATAATTTCTTTATGAATTTAAATCATAAATAATCAATTGCGATTTTAATCCTGAGTAGATTTATTACATTTTCGATAAATACGAGTACAATTTTTTTTTTTTATATTTTGAATACCAGTTAAAATGTATATTATATAATAATATTTTAACAACTTTGTTAAATTTAAGATGATTAAAATATATATATACTACATTTATTAACAATAAAATTAATACCGATCGTCAAAACAAATTATGAATAAATTAATCATCAAACACAATTAATATACTCAACTAATTCCAAGGTAATTTAACTCTAGATATTCATGCATAATGATCCAACAGATGTCATACAACACATCCCGAAAGAATGCGTTCCTTCAGATTTAGGTGGTTATGATAAATCTATCCAAGAATTGGGTGGTGTGTATTTAAAACCATTACTTATTATTATTATTATACATCATTGTTATTAAATGAATATGTATTTACAACTATTTATTTATAGAATTTACCAAAAATAATATATTAGCAGAAAGTGAATTATTTATGAATGGATTACTTTCTTTGAAAGCAGACATGGAAAAAAAACCAACAGATAAAAACAGCAATGAACAATCAGAACTTTTCGGGTTCGATGGAAATTTTAAACAATTGAATATTGATTAATTGATTTCTTTTAAGTAAAAATGTTAACGTATTAGTATAGATACTTATTAAAAAAAGAAAAAATTTAATTTAGAATTTTTGTAACAATAAGTTATTTAATCACGAATGTTAATTAAAATTATTAATTTACACTTCAAAATATCATGAAATTACAATTTATGTAGCAGCTTTCCCTTGATTTTTAAAAATGAATGTATAATTAAATAAATCTATGAAACTTGTATACTCCATGTGTTAATAAACATTATTATTTAATTTAATATTTATATATAGGTTGACGTAAAAAATATACTGCTACTTAATCATATAAATAAAACAAAAAAGAATAATAACAGTTATATTTACAATCTACATATTTTAAAAGATAAAATAGTATTTTTTTTATTTTTTTTACACAATATATACAATTTGATATAATAAGTAGTATATATAGTAAAATAAGTAAGAATAAGTGAATTACAGTGTCATAGATATTTGGGTGAAGAAACCGCCCACTGGTGCCACTCCAATATTTTTTTATAAAGATCGCGACGGCATATCCTTTTAATTTTGTCTTTTGGAAGGATTACTAGGCTGTGTGTGAGGCAATAGCATATATAGGGGGGCCCATAGTGAAATTTCATATTCAATTAAAACATTTTTATACATATTGCTAAATTATATAATTATATATTTGTACATATTATATATGATACCATGGCCCGTACCTACTATTATTGTTGTTGTTCTTTGCTAGTATGTTGTTTTTAAGGTATATAATTCACGTTACTGACTGATACCATGGTTCATGATTGCAATGAACAAACAAAATACTAATAAACTATGAAAGGACATGACAAATAAAACTGTGTATTTACATCACGGGCTATTTAGCTAATATAGCTATTTAGCTAATTCTATTTAGAAACTTTAGTAGTTAGTGGTTTACATATTACGTTGATAGCGCATTCTATTTTTAAAAATGAATTTCTGTTTTCTATTGTATTTACGTTGTTGCAAAGTATAAATTTATCATGGGTTGTTAGGAATTATTTCGTCGATTGTCTTTTGTTGATTATCGATACTTGATTGTCTTAGGCCGATCCCACACCAATAGAGTAAAACTTCGTTAAACAGTGTTAGTCAACCAAAAACAATTTGTTTTTATAAAGCGTACACTACCTAGACAAAACAAAAATCATGTTATCATCATGTCATCTGTTGAAGTTGTTGCGATTTTCATGTGGTACTTATAACAAAATTTAGAATAGAATCATAAAAAAAAATAATTATGGATTTATTTGTTAAATAAAAACTTGGTCCTTGTCTCCAAAATCATAAATGGTTATTCTTATTTCCACTAAACTTGCTAGTATTTCCCCATCACAAGCCATTATGTGATAAGTATATAAAAAATATTATTAAAAATTTATACGAAATACAAAATACACGCGAATAATAAAATAATTCTTTCTTGTCTAGTTGTGACTAACGAAAAATGTGGACACTCAAATAGTATCAGTCATGACTAATTGTGTTTTAAAGCAAAAATGTTTACTACCTACAGTAGAAAAATGCTTAACTTATTATGTATCTTATTTAATAATAAATATATATTAATACATTTAAATTCCTATATTTGTATCATTTATGTATATTTATTTCAATGAAAACCACCCGTTCCCTAAAAAATTTCTAGTTGTAGCTATGGTGGGGATAAATTGGCCCATCCATAGTGAAAATAATTCCAATATACGCCACTGGTATGAGGGTATGGTTCGAAACGTGCTCCCGTGATTAGACGTACAATTTTATTTTGTGAAATTTAAATTTATTTTAATATTTATTTTATTTTAATATTTTTACTAGAAGTCTCTATTTCACGTGTAGTTAAATTCATGGTTTTATTAATTTAAGTACATATGATCACGTAAATCTTAATTTACGTTCATATTCGAGAACTTTAATTATTACTGATCCCCAAAATTTCCAAAATAATTTTATCAGGGATTTGTATAGGTTTAATTTAGTGAGGAATTAAAGTTCTTATCTTGAGTTTAAATAAAAATTGAGGGTACGGATTCGGAAGTGAAGCTGAAGTTTGGTGGAGTGAATGTGATGACACCAAGTCAATATTTTATTAAAGTGAACCCCAAGGTATTTTGTATTGAGTGAGATAGAAATTTTTATACAATTAAAAATTCCGCAAGGACAAATACCTTGTTTTAGAGTAAAAGTGATGGACTGGATTTACTTTTGTTAATTTATAATTTCTAGTTTTTACACCAGATTTCAATTTGAGAAAGATTAGATTGAAGTTCATTTGATGTAATAATTAGGTTTTCGTTAACTTAGATAATAGTTTGATCATCAGCGTATTATGCAACGAAGATGTTGGTAGAAGTCGGTTGATCTAATACAAATATATTAAAAATATAAGGAGCTAATATTACGCCATGGGTAACTCCGGTTGTACTTTTGAAGGAATATAATAAAAAAGGTACTTTTGAAAGCTAGATTGGAACAATAATGGAAAGCGAAATTATGATCATTAAGAAGGGATCTAATGAATAAATAAAAGAATGGAGGTAGAATTTTCTTTATTTAATTAAGGAGACCGTTATATCACACATGGTCGAATGCTTGTGCCATACTAAGGAATGCTACAATTATTTTTTTAAGAAATAAAAATTGTTTTTAGCTGTATTGTAGGAGATGCATCGTTTCAAATAGGAAAACATCCTTTATGATTGATAACCTTTGATTTCTCAAGTTTGATCCGAAATTTATAGTCCGTGAATCATTGACGACGTTAGTCATAAGTAGGACAGAGGACTTGTAGCATTTGCATGTTTGTTTTGCACAATCACAAAAATAGAAGAATACGAAACAAATGTGTTTTATACTTATAATAGTCTTGTAATTCTATTTTGCATATAAATGCATACTTTGAATTTTTTTGTTTTATGAGCATATTTCTTTTATTTTATACTTTTAGATGTATATTTCAAATAATTTATAATTTCTTAAATACTTTTTTGCCGACATTCTTACTTCATCTAATATACGACCAAAATATTGTCGAATTAAAAATAACTTTAAATGTTGATCATCTTATATGGTTGTTGACTGTTCGTTGGCGCATATTTTTTCAGTGATACGTCTTCAAAATCGGAAATTAGATTAATTTTATTTATAAACGATGAACATGTTGCTTACATTATATATTTTCCGATAGGATGTTAACGAATCCATAAACAATACTAAAAAATGTAATTTTACTGACTTTAGTCAGTGTTCGTAAATAATTTAATATTATAGTAATTTGCTCTTAGTTTTGCAATCTGCGTATATGCGTCTATTTGTTATTCATGTCAACTTTTCGTCTTTGTGTACTTTTTAACATTAAAATGTCTAGAAATAAGCAGTTTTTTAACAGTCGATTAAAGAGTTATTTATCGAAATTTTGTGTCGATGTGTTTTTAACAGACGGCTAATCCTATACTGTAAGTATTGTAATGTTAAAGTAAGATGTGAAAAACAATGTTTAAATGTTACACAATATCTAAATGATTTATATATTTTATAAATAAATACATAGTTTTTAAAAAATATGAAAGTATATTTTTAGTGCATAAGTGCATGTTTAATGTTTTTTTTAAAACTACAAGTCTTCTACCCTAGTCATAAGTAACGCCCAGATTTATATGCAATCAAAATCTATAAAATACACATATTCATATCATAAATATGCAAAATATGTTTAGAAAATAATATTTACAATTTAATAAACTACACGATTTTGATTAAAAAAAATTAACAAACAATTTATAAAAAAAAAAAATAATACTTTTTATGACATTGTGTGTAAAAATATTATACAATACTATATAAAATTATTATTATAAAATTAAGAATACTCGTATATGTATGTATTTAAAATTATGATAATATTTATATTAAATTATTATTATATTTATGAGTACCAGCCAGCATAAGGTAATAAATATGTATTTCAAGTTTTTGAATTGAAAACTCCAACGGTTATCTCAAAGAATACATGTAAATTATATTTATGTATTTAAAAAAACTTCTTTCTATATCACAAGATAAAATTGTTGAATATTTAAAACTGAATAAATCTTTTACTGGCAGTACTTCATCTTCATCACAATCCATTAAATCACCGTTGATTAAACTATTGATTTGTTTAATGTAAATAAAATATTTTCTGTCAAAAAATTCGCAAATTTAGATCTAGTGTACCATCCTTGACCCTTTTTCTTTTAATATTTTCTATGAGCAATAGATTATCTATTAATATTACATTCGATTTCTTTAGTTTTGTAATTGTTTTTATACACTGGGAGTGTGTTGTAATAATGGCAAGTTAATTTTTTAATTCTTAATAAACTACGTATATTTTCAAAACACTTCGCTTCATTTTGGTGAAATAATAAAAAATTAATTAATAACTCATTCTACCTCGATAAAATATTTCCCATAGTAAATTGTTGCTTTAAGTCATGTGCTGTAATGAGTTAATATTGTTTGTGGAAGTAAACTCAATTTAGATTAAATTTCTTTGAAAGTATTTACACATAAATGTGCTTTAAAAAAACATTTTAATAAATAAAGATAAAACTCATAAAAATGATCATTGTTATTATTATTATTATTGTAAAATATGAGCATTTATGCAACTACTCAGAAGAATGCAATTAATATGCATTTTCATATATAAAAAAAAAATTATCTATACAATCTGTACTTAACGAAACGTCGACATTTAGTCGTATAATCAATATTTTTCTAGATGAATTGTAGAATATGCATTTGCATATAAATCCGGGCCCTAGTAACAACTATGATGTGAAGTATTCACCGATGCAGGAACACAGGTAAAGTAGATGGCGTGACAAGTCGCGGCTACCCGAGGTGGCTAACTGAGCGGGTGGAACACTGTATCTATATAGGTGGTCTGGGGGAAAATATAAACCACACTGCGCATAAAAATAACA